CCTGTAGTCCCAGCTACTTGGGAGGCCGAGGCAGGAGAATCGCTTGACCACCCGAGGTGGAGGTTGTAGTGAGCCAAGATTGCACTACTGCACTCCAGCCTGGGCTACAGAGCGAGACTTCAACTCAAACAAAACAAACAACAAAAAAAGAACTAGCTGGGTGTAGTGGTGCACACCTGTGGGAGGACTGCTTGAGCCCCAGAAGTCAAGGCTGCAGTAAGTTGTGATCATTCCACTGCACTCCAGCCTGGGTGACAGAGCAAGACTTTGTCCCAAATAAATAAATATAAAAACAAAACCCCAAGCAGTCTTAGGGTAAAAGGAACTGCGAGTGCTAAGGCATTTGTATACCCTGAGAATCCAAAGAGGTCCAGGGCCATGCAGGATTTTCAGTGGGGAGGAATGAGCCAGAGAACCTCATTCTACCTGTCATTCTCCTCTGGACCTGCTTTGAGTTTAGAGCAGTATTCCAAGATACATAGGAGAAGGACTGGGAAATCCCAAACAAATCAGAACTCCCTAAAATAGCCTGAGATCCTAGCAGAAGAAATCCTTAAATGCCTTCTCTAATTTGACTAGGCCGGTGTGGTGGCTCATGCCTTTAATCCTAACACTTTGGGAGGCCAAGGCAGGAGGATCACCTGGGATCAGGAGTTCAAGACCAGAAGATTGGCCAACATGGGGAAACCCTGTCTCTACTAAAAATAGAAAACTTTGCTGGGCATGGTGGTGGGCACTTGTAGTCCCAGCTACTCCAGAAGCTGGGTCAGGAGAATTGCTTGAACCCCGGAGGTGGAAGTTGCAGTGAGCCGAGATTGCCCTACTACACTCCAGTCTGGGCGACACAGCGAGACTCCAGATCAAAAAATAAAAATAATAAATAAATAAATAAATAAAATGGTGATTAAATAAGCAAGCCCTATGGGATTATTATGATGATATAAGATCACGTAAATGAAATGCTTAGCATGATGCTTTTACCACAATCATCTTCATTTTTTTTCTTTTTTTTTTTCCAAGACGGGGTTTCACCATGTTGGTCAGGCTGGTCTTGAACTCCTGACCTCAGGTGATCCACCCACCTCAGCCTCCCAAAGTGCTAGGATTACAGGCGTGAGCCACCGTGCCTGGCTAATCATCTTCATTTTTATCTATATGTACATACAGGCAGAGAGAGGTCAGGTGACTTGACCAAGGACACTGGAGAGTCAGTGGCAGATTCAAACTTCAAGGCTCTGTCCACCTCCCCAAACCCCATCTTCCTGACACCACACAGAGCCTCCTCTCAGGAAACAGGAGAAGGCTGATGGTGATTGCTCTGGCCCCCAAGACTCAGGAGACGCTAGAAAACAGAGGATCTCAATTCTGCTCCAGACCGGCCCCCGCCTCTACACCCTGAACCATCAGCAGAGCTAACAGTCTTGCCAAGCTGTTGTCAGATCAGCTAGGCACACACACAGAAGAAAGAAAAAAGAGTAATGAGGTGACCAAAAAAATAGGAGAGTAGAGCCAAGCGTAGTGGCTCTTACCTGTAATCCCAGCACGATGGGAGGTGAGGCGGGCGGATCACCTGGGGTCAGGCATTTGAGACCAGCCTGACCAACATGGAGAAACCTCATCTCTACTAAAAAGACAAAATTAGCCAGGCGTGGTGGTGCATGCCTGTAATCCCAGCTACTCGGGAGGCTGAGGCAGGAGAATCACTTGAACCTGGGAGGCAGAGGTTGCGGCAAGCCGAGATCATGCCATTGCACTCCAGCCTGGGTAACAAGAGTGAAACTCCGTCTTAAAAAAAGAAAAGGAAGAAAAGAAAAGAAAAGAAAGAAGGAAGGAGGGAAGGAAGGAAGGAGAAAGAAAGAAAAAGAGAAAAGAAAGAGAGAAAGAGAGAGAAAGGAGAAAGAAGGAAGGAAGGAATGTGAAAAATGAAAAGTTGGTATGTTCCTAGTAGACTGTAAACTCCAGGAAGGCAGGGCTCATGTGCTTATCATCATATCTCTGGTCCCTAGGATAATATATGGTATATAACCGGGTTCATGAATATGGGCTGAAAACATATAAGATACGAGGTTTTGTCGTAGCCACATCACTTAGCCTCTTCATATTTCCTACCTTTTCCCTCAAAACACACACCCTATTTCAAATGTTTTGGCTCCATTTCCCATACTGGGGCTACTTAAAAATGAATTCAAAGACGTAGTATAGGCTGGGTGTGGTGGTTCACACTGGTAATCCCAGCACTTTGGGAGGCTGAGGCAGGCAGATTACTTAAGGTCAGGAGTTCGAGACCAGCCTGGCCAACATGGTGAAACTCCGTCTCTGCTAAAAATACAAACATTACCTGGGGAATGGTGGTGGGCGCCTATAGTCCCAGCTACTTGGGAGGCTGAGGTGGGAGCACTGCTTGAACTCAGAAAGTGGGGGTTGCAGTGAGCCAAGATCATGCCACTGCACTCTAAGTGATGGAGTGTAACTCTGTCTCAAAAAAAAAAAAAAAAAAAAAAAAATTCAAAGATGTAGAATTGAGTTCTGGAGAACCCAGACCACACTGACCCCTTCCTAAAGTGCCCATCCAGTTTCTCATTCCAAGCCTTCCTCCCTTGGACAGTTTCTCCTGGATCCCACCCTCTCTTCTGCCTCATGAACCCTGATTTTAACATTTTGACACAGAGCATGGGGTTTAAAGGCAGAAGACCCAGCTTGAATACTGCTTCTACTACAGGTAGTCCCTCTAAGCCTCAGTTTCCTTATCCAAAATGGAATCAAATTATAGTAACCATCTCATGGGTTATTATGAGGATTAAATTAATAATATTCACAGAAGGCACTTAAAACAGGGCCTAGAATGAAGCAAACACTATATATGTGTTATTATCATTGCTATTATTTTGAACTGAAGTAAAGCATGCACATAAAAACGTTTTAAATTATAAAGAATTTTTAAAATGTAAAAGACGGCTGGGCGCGGTGGCTAACATCTGTAATCCCAACACTTTGGGAGGCCCAGGTGTTCGAGACCAGCCTGAGCAACACAGTAAAACCCTGTCTCTACTAAAATACAAAAAAATTAGCCGGGCGTGGCAGTATTCGCCTGTAATCCCAGCTACTTGGGAGGCCGAGACAGGAGAATCACTTGAACCCGGAGGTTGCAGTGAGCCAAGATTGTGCCACTGCACTCCAGCCTGGGTGACAGAGTGAGACTCCGTCTCAAAAGAAAAAAAGGGAAAGATTACTCCGATAATTTTATAGTGAGTATATCTTGGGGACGAGAATATAAGCTTATCCCAAATTCCTTCAACATGCAGATAAACAAACATTACAAGAGCAAATTTCTTCTGACTCACTTTTCTTTTCTTTTTTTGTTTTTGAGACGGAGTCTCACTCTGTCGGCCAGGCTGGAGTGAAGTGGCATGATCTTGGCTCACTGCCACCTCCGCCTCCTAGGTTCAAGCAATTCTTCTGCCTCAGCCTCCCGAGTAGCTGGGACTACAAGTGAGTGCCACCACGCCTGGCTAATTTTTGTATTTTTAGTAGAGATGGGGTTTCAACACCTTGGCCAGGCTGGTCTCGAACTCCTTACCTCGTAATCCACCTGCCTTGGCCTCCCAAAGTGCTGGGATTACAGGCATGAGCCATGGCACTTGGCCCCTGACTCACTTTTCTTAACTTTAGGAAGTATTTCCAGGTACAAAACAGAAGAAATGGTTATATACACACACACACACACACACACACACACACACACACTCACGAACAATCACTTCATGGTATTACCTTGTTTGTTTTCAGGTTTAGCATCTACTTGTCCACCCCCAGAATAAAAACTCCATGAGAGAAGTTTTGTCTGAATTGTTCAGAGCATGGCACTGAGCGGGTATTTTTGTTGAACCAATGAAGAAATGAAGTTCTACAGCAGATAAGCGAAGTACCAGGTAACAGAAGTATCACTTTGAACACCTGGGCTTGAATCAAAATGGAATATATGGAATTATTCCTCCGAAGGCCTCTGCCAGTCAATGTTGGCTACCTCTAGATTGCCAAATAAGGGGCGTGGGATACATGTATATGAACAATTAGAGACCAGCCCTCTACTTTTGGAACAAGGAATTGGGGAAGGGCAGATGAGGTTTAAAATCTCCGCAAAGAGCCTCTTTTCTTTGGCCCAGGAAGCCTTCCTGAACTCTTCTGACTTCCCCCTGCCCAGCAGCAGACGCTATTCTGTGAGGGTTTTAGGCTTCCATTCGGGCTAAGCGGGGCATTCTGCCGCGAAAGTGGAGGATACAGGGTATGCTGGGAGCTCCTTTGGCCTTGCCAGGTGAGCCTGCCCAGGGAGCCTACATCGGGCCCATTATTATGACTATTTATTAATAATAATATCGTTATTAAATATTTATGAAGTGCTCATGCTCTGCCTGATGGTGATTCTCCCATCACTGCCCCACCCTTCCAGCAACGCCCGGGTCCTTAACCCCGAGTCCCACCGGTCATCCCAGAGTTTGTTCATTCAGGAGAATTGTGACAGGTCACCCTGGCCGCCCCAGCTGGCCCTAACCGCCGGGAACCCAGGCGCCCGCGTTCTCCAGCGGGGCAAGGATCCTCTCCTCGTCGCACTGGGTCTGTGTGAAGAGCGTCCCCTGTGGTCCGAACCCCACCAGGGTTCCAGGGACAGAAACGGGGAGGGGCCAGGTCCAGGTTCCCCACCGGGTCCACCTGGCGGCCACCCTCTCCGCTCCAGGTCCAGGGCTGCCCGCGTGCGGGCAAGGGCGCGGCCCCCGGGTGTCCGGCCCCAGGCGGGCAACCGCGCGCGGTCCGGCTCCCACAGTTCCCCGCCGCCCCGGCACCGCATCCCGCCGCCCCGGCCCCGCGGCTTTTTTTCTCTTTATCATAAATATATAAATTATGCTAATTACGGGCATTGCATATTAACCAAACCCGAAACCTCCCCTGCCCGGCCCCCTCCCCCTCCGTGCAAACCCCTCCCCGCCCAGGACCCCGCTACTTACCAGAGCCCGAGCCCGAGCCGCCTTCGCCCTGGGTGCCCGGCGGCCACCGATTAGAGATTCATCTCACAGCCCGGGCCAGGGGACCGGGGCCAGGGCCACGGCGGCCGCCGCCCGCAGACAAAGAAGCCAGTTCGGCTTGGCTGGGCTCGGCTCGGCCCGGGAGCTGGTTGGGACCCGCCGCCGCCCCCGGGCCCCTAGCCTGGGCTGGGCAGAGCCGAAGGGGGTTCCGCGGGCTGCGCCAGGCGGAGGGGGACGGCCGGGAAGCGGGAAGGGGAAGCCGGGTGGGGGTCGGTCAGGTATATATTTTTCCTCGTTCCCCCCTTCCACGACCCCCCCTTATCCCTCCCCCCCCTTTTTCCCTCCTTCTGCTACTTGGATTTTTTTAGCTGCTGCGTCATGAGCATAATTTATGCAAAGAGCTTTGCCGCATGCTGCACCGCCCGCGCCAGCCGCCGGGGGCGGCGGGCTGGGCGGGCGGTCAGGGAAGGGAGGGGAGCAAGGGAACCGGGAGCGAGGGGTGGGGGTTGGGAGGGGACCCTCGGGCCCTGGCCTAGCGGGAGGCCCGGGAGGCTCTCTCCCGGCACAGGGATGGACGGTCAGTGGGGTGGTTACTCAGCCCCTTCAAGATGCCGCGGAGGTGGTTTCATTTTGTAAGGTGCGAGAGTGGGAGCTGGAGTCCGGACTGGGGACCCTCCATTGCCACAAGGCCTTCAGCCGAGGGTTGGGGCGGTGACTCCCTGCCACCGCCTTTCCTCTAGGTAGTCAACTCCTCAATGTTGAAAGTCAAGTTTATGTCTCTCTCTCCCTCCCTAGAAAGGCCGGGGAGCGGGCCAGGCGTGGTGGCTCCCGCCTGTAATTCCAGCACTTTGGGAGGCCGAGGCGGGCGGATCACCTGAGATCGAGAGTTCAAGACCAGCCTGACCAGCATGGAGAAACCCCGTCTCTACTAAAAATACAAAATTAGCCGGGCATGGTGGCACATGCCTGAAATCCCAGCTTCTCGGGAGGCTGAGGCAGGAGAATCGCTTGAACCCGGGAGGCAGAGGTTGCGGTGAGCCGAGATCGTGCCATTTGCATTCCAGTCTGGGCAACAAGAGCGAAACTTTGTGCCACTGCACTCCAGCCTGGGCAACAGGAGCGAAACTGCATCTCAAAAAAATAAATAAATAAATAAAAAGAAAGGCGGGGGAACTCAGACATCCCTCAGCTAAAGTGGAGAACCTCTGAACAGCTGTGGCCCGGCACCAAAGCAGTGAAGGGTCCTAGGTCCCTCACCCAGTGGCAGCCCTGGGTCGTGTTGTCTAAAAGCAGCTTTCCGGCCTTCTTGTCCAAGTAGACAAGGAAATGTGAACAGAATGACAAAGTTCGGTGGAATGGTGAAAAACCTATGTTCACTTCTGAAGGTGGAGAGGGGACCAGAAAAGGGATGAATGTGGGGGGCTGAGGGAAAGCAGATTGGAGTACCGGACATATGAGAGAGGAAAAAGTTCCCAGACCAAAGTGAAAGAGTGGGAATGAGGGGAGAACTGGGAAGGAAGAAGGCTCTGTAAATCCAATAAATGTGGATTCCAACACAGAGACCACCTGCTGTCTCTCTAGGCTGTTTCCCCTCCCACCTTCCCGGTATATTTGGTGGTCTGATGATAGCTAGAGGTAGATGGGTTAGAGGCAGTGTGACAATGTAAGTGGAGGACTCTGTCCTCCCCGGGACTACTCTGTAAAGCCTCCTGGTGGAAGGGCATTCAATGGCCTGACCTCTTGGTTAACCTGGCCAGTGGAGCTCAGGCTGTGTCAGCTTGCTGTTTCCATCTGGGAGTAAGCAGGTATTGCTGGCAGCAGACTTATAGTAACCAATGTATTATGTGCATATATATATGTATATACTTAGGTTTTAGTCCCAACTCTTCCACTAGCAATCCAAGCAAGTAATTCAACTTCTTCATTAGTTATAAACAAGTTTGTGAACCTGTATGTGAAAAAAAAAGAAAGCTGCAAGCTCTATACAATTGTAAGGTGTCATTCCCTGTCCAGTAGTTTGAACTCATTTTCATGGCCCTGTGAAACTCTACTACGAGGCATGGTATTACAGTTCTTGGGGTTTTTGTTTGGTTTGTAGTCCCTGTGGTCTCTCTCCCTGGACTGAATTCTTTGAGGGCACTGGTTGTGACTCATTTTTGTACACTACTCTTTTTTTTTTTTTTTTTTTACTGGGGGTGGGCCTGCCGCTGCTGCCCCCGAGGGGGTGGAAAGACAGGGCCCCCCATGTACAGTACTCTTTATGTGAAGAAGGGGCTCAGTATTGCTGCTGAACTTTGTCACATGAAGGTTGAAGCTTTTAATCTATATCACTTGGTTTGGTGCTACACAAAGATAGAGCAAAGGCTTTGGATGGCACGGATATTAGCAACAGTTTGAAGAAGGAAATATGGATGTGATCAAGTAGTTCAGGGAGACATACATAAAAATGTTAATCGGCCAGGTGCTGTGGCTCACGCCTGTAATCCCAGCACTTTGGGAGGCCGAGTCAGGCAGATCACCTGAGGTCGGGAGTTTGAGACCAGCCTGACCAACATGGAGAAACCCCATCTCTACTAAAAATACAAAATTAGTCAGGCATGGTGGCACGTGCCTGTAGTCCCAATTACCAGGGAGGCTAGGCAGGAGAATCACTTGAACCTGCGAGGTGGAGGTTGTGGTGAGCTGAGTTCGTGCCATTGCACTCCAGCCTGGGCAACAGAGCAAGACTCTGTCCAAAAAAAAAAATGTTAATCATGATTTTCTTTACATTGTATACACTTCTGCAATGCTTAATTATTTGATGAGCATATTTTACTTCTTGTTTCTTTAATTTTGTATTGGGGCATAACATATACACAGTAAAATATACAAATTTTGTGTATACCGTGACAAATTTTTACATGTATTTAAATATTACATGTGTATATATGTGCGTGTATACATATATACACATATACATACATATATACGTGTATATATACACATATACACACACATGCACACACACACACACACACATCCATGTAATCCCCACTGAAAACAAGATATAGAGCCTTTCCAAGACCTGAGAGGATTCCCTTATGCTCCTTCACTGTCCACAAATTCCCAAAGTAACCATTCTGATTTCTATCAGCATAGATTACTTTAGCTGATCCTTGAACTTCTCGTAAGTGAAATCAGATAGTATGCACTCTTTTGTGTTTGACTCCTGTCACTCAACAATTTTTTTT